AATTCTGAAGGAAACTGTCAGGACATCTGTCCGAGAACTGAATCTCAAGAGAAAGCGGGTCATGCAGCAAGACAACGACCCCAATCACACAAGTCGTTCTACCAAAGAATGGTTAAAGAAGAACAAAGTTCCTTTTGATCAGCAGTTACAAGAAACATTACTTACAGTTATTGCTGCAAAAGGGGGTCAGACCAGATACTGAAAGCAAAGATTTGCATGCATTTGCCACTCACAGATATATAATGCTGGATCATTTTTCTCAATAAATAAATGGCAAAGAAATATTTCTGTCTCATTTGTTTGTTTGGGTTCTCTTTGTCTATTTTCAGGACTTGTGTGAAATTTTGATTGTTTTGAGTCATATTTATGCAGAAATATAGAAGATTCTAAAGGGTTCACAAACTTTCAAGCAGCACTGTATGTATGTGTGTGTGTATATATATGGATAGTGATTTATGATGTGCGTAGTTAATAGTTTACACTAACTTTAGGCTACTTTTAGCCTTGAGTTGGTTCGCCCTCTGCATAAGCTTCTAAAGATTGCAGAGAGATACACAACGGTGAAAAATGACTCGAAATAATCCTGAACATTAAGATAAATATTCAAATGATTCCCCTAAAAAAACAAGGGCCCCCTGCCTGGCCCCCCCCCCCCGCCCCACCGTGGTGACCGCCACTGACATAGGCTACAAAGAAGAGGGGTAACAGAACAAGAAATATAATAACAGTAGGTCTGCATTAACTAAAGTAGAAGGCTGATATAATAAAATATAATAATACATAAACTAAAGTAGAGGTGGAATAAGTTATAAAGTAACATTAACTAAAGTAGAGGGGTGATATATTAAGAAATATAATAACAGTATATTAAAGTAGAGGGGTGATATAATCAGTAATAAAATAGCATTAACTAGAGTAGAGGGATGATAGCATAACACTAAATTAACTAAAGTAATTAACACTTGTGCATTTCTTTTGAAATTTTACAACAAATAAAACATGTAAAATAAAGTGTTTGTGTGCCTGCACTTGAATCATTCCCCTCAGATGTCTGTTTTAAAGCAGTGGGTAGTCACTCATTGATTTTCTTAATAAAAGACTACTTTGAGATGTTGACAAACATGTTTATAGTGCATTATTTTCAGCGTTGCCAATGACAACCTCACAGGTTTGGTTATCATATAAAATTACTTGAATGGTTTACTAAAAGAAATGTGTTTAAAAGTGTGACTGGAATGACCTAATAACAATAAAGCATGTATTTCAAAGAGTTGTTTGAGAAGGTATTTGTTTAAATCTCTTTTTATCTGTAAGTGCAGAGCTGTTTAAAACGGTATCGTTTAAGAGCTTGAACCATTTCTGAACCATTTCAGATTTTATCAGTTGAGCCAAATTAGCATAGTGTCCCCTGTATTCATACACGAACCTTTCATGTGCTTAAATCATCCAATTAGTCTATAGCAAATGTCAGTACAGTGCTTCTGTTTGTATCAATAACGTTTTGGTAAATCATTTCTTTTTGATAGAAACAGGAGCCTGAACATGGACACGAACCTGTAGCAAATCGATGCATTTTTGTAAGAAAAATATCCATATTCAAAACATAATAATCACTTGAATCTAGCTTGCGCTCACTGTTGTAAAACGGAAGCAGTTCCGGGGGAATTACGTATGAGGTCAGCTTTGCGCATGTGCCGCTCAGAAGTGACGCACGCGGAGAGATCGAAACAAAACAACGGTCACTAATTAGACGTACAAAACGAGGATTTGTAAAGAAGAATGTCAGAGGATTTCGATATAAGCCAAGAGGAGACTTGTTTTCCTTTGCTAAAGTAAGTAAGGAAACTTTGCTTCTTTTGATCCTGTAAACAAACGTTGGTTTTCACGAGACTCACCAGCGCATGCGCAACGCCGACCTCATACGTCATCCTCCCGGAACTGCTTCTGTGTACAACTGCTGGCGCAAGCTAGATTCAAGTGATTATTACGTTTTGAATATTCTTACAAAAACAGGAGGCCTTTGTTCACCCCCCGGAGCCGTGTGAAACACTTTTTTTATGGAAAGGTGCTTTTTATTTCACATATTTTGGACAGAAGCAATGCAACACCCGCTGAGTGCAACGATAGAGCTTGAAAGATCAAAGACAATTTGTAATATAACTCCGACTGGATTCGTCTGAAAGAAAAAAAGTCACATACACCTAGGATGCATCGGGGGTGAGTAAAACACAGCCTATTTTTCATTTTTGGATGAACTAACCCTTTAAAAAACAAGTGGACATTTTCACTTGTGGACACAAGAGGGCAGCATCTGATCATTCAAACACAAAGACTTTGCAAATTGTCTATGCTGTTGTTTGAAATGTTAATTAACGGATATTTCATTCGACACTAAGTTGGATAAACATGTTTGCCTAGGAAAAAAAGACTAATTTCATAGCAGGCCGATCTTAAATTAGGCTATATTAAAAAACATGTTGGTGGCTTGACTTAACTAGGTCTAACTTAACTACGTACGAAAAACGTGCCATTTGCTAAATTATTGTAATGTGCTTGAGATCATTTAGGCTGATAGGCCTGTTATGAAAGTCATAATTACTGTAGCTATTCCTCGTCATCTTGTGAGTCTTCATAATTACAAACCTGTTCGAGTGGATTATAGATAATGATCATTATTAATAGCGAAATTACTACATTAAATTTAATATTCTGAATTAGCTAAGGTTGGTCGAATTACGAATAATAGAAAAATGTAACTTTTTTTCTCAAACAGCTCACTGGAGCATTAGAAGTAGCCTATCAGTAGTGATCACACGCTTGGGTTAGTCTGTGGAGGTGTGAATCTCGCCATTTGAAGGGAGGACTGGTTTTGAACTGGCGCCTCTGTGAAACTATAATTAGGATAATTGCTGTCAATCCGGTAATTTCTGTAGGTCTCTGAATGTGTCCCCTGAAGCGGAATCGCTTGTCTTTAGCCTTTGACACTGAATCGATGGCCGTCTATCAGATGTGAGCGTCTCCAAGTCTGTCTCTCATCATCAAACACTAGCCTATCTCCTGTGCCACTGCCGTCCGTCCTGCCTCCAGCTATAATAAACCACAGTACGCGCAAATTCCACACACAACCCAGATTGATCGATTTATTACAATCTGTTTCGTATCAATTCAACTTGTCTCAATAAATGAATAATGAAATGAATAAAAGCATATCACATCTTGAAGGGAATGCTGTTATGAATTTGATAGAAAGTTTAAAATTCATAAACGCTCGGTATAGGGGCTAATTATCCCATAATTATTGAAATAAGCAGGAGCTGATGGGTTAGACTGAAAAAAAAAATTTAACCCAAAAATGGTGACATCTAAATCAACTGTTTTTATTCAAGTCAGTTAACTCTTTAACCTTTTAATTTTTTTTCTTTAACCTAACTCAATATGTAGGCCTATGTATGTATGTGTATGTGAGAAAAGCTCTCTGGGGAAACAATCAACACTTTTTACAGTGCATAATAAAAGACATTAAAAAATGTTTTTGCAAGTGTATATTTGACATGCATGTAAATAAATAGTATTAGCCAGCAACCTCACAGATTTTCAGGCAGATTGTTCAAATCAACGACATATGAATGTTTGACCAAAAAGAGCTTTAATTTTTCTAATTATGAATTTTGTTTTATATAAACAAATAAATAAATAAATAACACATCGTAGCCTCTACTGTTTGATGGGTGGCTCTATATGTGTTCATAACCTAGCCTACTGCAGCACTTGACGTGGTTATATTTGAAGAGCATTTATTTGTTTATTTATGGTTCAAGGTTGCCCAAAATGCTTTCAATTGTGAAGCACATGCCCTGACCAAAGTGCTCAACACATCAGGGCGGGTAGAGCAGTTGAGATATCGATCGTTGTGCTCTGTGTGTTTTGCATGGGATTGTCTGGGGGGTAATTGAGTGTCACTGTCTGTCTGTGTCGTCTCGCTGGCGCCATGTGCCTCTTTGGATTGCTAATTTCTCTAAACGACCCGCCTACATCCACTCTCTAGTGCAGACCTGCAGTTTCCACCTCCAGCAGCCTGAGAAACACTCAAAAAAGTCATATGGCTGACAAAGCACTGAAACTTAAAAAATATATATATAAAAAATAAATTCCATAGTAGGCTAATTCTATCCTCAGGTACAAACATTAACATCTTAATGGTTTTGATAAGGGTCTTTAAATCTTGATGAAACAATATATTAGGTTTTAATTCGTAATCAGCCACTCCAGCGCTCTAAACGACCCGCCTACATCCACTCTCTAGTGCAGACCTGCAGTTTCCACCTCCAGCAGCCTGAGAAACACTCAAAAAAGTCATATGGCTGACAAAGCACTGAAACTTAAAAAAAAATATATAAAAAATAAATTCCATAGTAGGCTAATTCTATCCTCAGGTACAAACATTAACATCTTAATGGTTTTGATAAGGGTCTTTAAATCTTGATGAAACAATATATTAGGTTTTAATTCGTAATCAGCCACTCCAGCTTTCATCTTAATAACCATTATGTTATTATGACTTTTGTCTTGCTACCTGCCTCATCATGCGATTCTGTCTCAGCATCTGTAGGCGGAAAGACAAATTGTATGACCGCTGTGTGAACCAATACCAATGCCAATAGGACGGTGTATGCAAATTAACCAACAAAGCAGACCAATGAACGTTCATGTGGGCGTGACTACACTGCTCCCAAAAGTGAATCAGTGAAATCTCCCCGGCCAGTGAGCTGCTGCTCCGTGATCCAGGATAGTTGTCCAAATCTAATTGGATTTTTCTTTGTATTATTTCACGAATCCGTTTTGTGTGTGTGTGTGTGTGTGTGTGTGTGTGTATATATATTTGGGTTTCTAACGCACGACGGATTGGCTTGGTTACGCACAAGGGATGTTTCTGTAGTTCGGATCTCAGCAGTTCGGCATTGGTCTCTGATGGAACAAGCCCGGCCAGTGAGCTGCTGCTCCGTGATCCAGGATAGTTGTCCAAATCTAATTGGATTTTTCTTTGTATTATTTCACGAATCCGTTTTGTGTGTGTGTGTGTGTGTGTGTGTGTGTGTATATTTGGGTTTCTAACGCACGACGGATTGGCTTGGTTACGCACAAGGGATGTTTCTGTAGTTCGGATCTCAGCAGTTCGGCATTGGTCTCTGATGGAACAAGACACAGCCTTTCTGTGCCCGTTTGTTTTTGGATACAGCGCAGATCACAGATCCCTGGGAATGCAGTAATCAATGTAGGACATATGTAACAAGTCCTCAAACCATTCGGAGGGTCTTGCCACGGGGTATCAAGACAAGGAAAAGCAGTTGTAAATGGATCGCCATTCCAGCCTTGTTTCTCTCTGGTTTCAGCTGGAACTCTGTGCGATGGCTGTTCTTCTCACGAAAGGTAAGACCGAGTTCATGTAGCCTAAAACCATGTAAACTGCAGCGCTCAAACACAAAAGTCCTTCAAAATGTTTATATCTCTCAAAACTTATTCGAATACTGGAGAAAGAAAAAAAAAACGTGGCTACTATTTTAATTAATGGAAGTTAAACTTGTTAATATGTAAACAACTCATTATAAAACTTAAATGTCACACTGTACATTAACTGCCTTTACAACTTACATTTTACTTTAATATACGTTTTAGTAGGGAAAAAAAGGAATTCGATCTGTTGAAGTTGAAATTGTGTTTCTGGATGCTAAAATCTGGTTGTTGGACTTGATCTATTTTGGCTGGTCTAATAATGCCAACTTTAGAGCAGCTATAATCCAGCTATTTTGCTCCAAAACACTCCAAAGTAATTTTCTGAGCATTTGCAAAACATTGATTTGCAACACTTACCAAGGCCAGCTTGCTATGTTCCGCGTTTCTGCATTATTAGATAAGCACAACCATCAGAGATAAAATAAGAATAAACCCATTTAGCCTAACTGATAAGAAGAACTCGAGCGATTTCTTACACTAATGAAATGACATGTAACTCCAGCTTTGAACAGTGTACACAAGCAGATTACAACAACACAAAGGCCGTGTTTATTTGTGTTCGTGTCGTGTTGTGTGTTTAGTGTTCTGTTCCACATACACACGCGCAGTGGTAATTCGGCAATAGTTAAAAATGATGTACCGACTGACCACTTACTGAAACAGCCTATACATTTTAACCGTATATACAAACGCGAAATGTGAAGCTTTTCTTGGGGTGAAACCATGAAGGAATTGTTAAACGCTCGAAATCTATATGAATTTATTTTTTTGGCGCACAAAATTAAATGTTAAGCACAGTCACCGTTCGCTTTCATTGCGTTGAAAAAAGATGCAATAATAATGAACCGTGACTGATGCTGTCGGTCCTTAACGTCTTCTTTTGTGCTCTACAGAAGAAAGAGGGTCATACAGGTATGAAACAACACGAATGCAAGTAAATGAAATCATTTTTATTTTTAGGTGAACTGTCCCTTTAAAAGTTACCCTCCGACTTAATGCCAGGTTTGACCACAAGTGAGTTTGCGTGCAAACTGAAAAAGGAGTCCTTCTCTCACCCCCCTTTACGAGTTTCCATTTGGGTTGAAAGAAATTGACTTTGGCAAACAAACTACTAATTATAAGCTACACGGTTCCTGTTTTATAAGACAGACTTAAAGGATCCCTTGCATGAAAAGCCATGACACAGTTACAGTGTTGAACAGAAACAGCCACATATTAGTGTTAGTCCTCTCTCTCTTTGCCAAATTCTGGCATAAGATCTGAGTAGTTTAGTTTTAGTTACTTATTTTCCTCACATCCTCTTGAAATGAAAATGAAGAATGCTTTCCTGATAATAAAAAGTTAACCAGTTGCAGTACTTGAAATCTTAGTAATGCTAGAAATACGGCACAGTTTAAATCTCTAATTAAATGCTCAATTTCAGTTGGAATGGATGTGATGGGAATTTCAGCATTCCCACGCAGTACCGGGCAAACTTTCAGTTGCAGTTGACAGTGCTGGTCTGAAATGTTAACACAAGTTTTGTCAAGAATCCTTGGAAAGTTCAACATTTTCATTGGAAGCACTTCAGGGCAGTTGTTTTATGATTTAATATATCCAGGATGGTGCATTAATGTCAATGATATCGGTTATTACATATTTTAACTAACATGATTTCTTTGTTTTGCAGGAGAGATCAGGTGCTACTGTGACGCACCACACTGTGTTGCCACTGGATACATGTGTAAATCGGAGCTCAACGCTTGCTTCACGAAGGTCCTGGACCCACTTAACACAAACTCGCCTCTAACACACGGCTGTGTAGATTTGCTAGTAAAATCAGCGGATGTGTGTTCCAGCAAAAATGTGGATGTTTCCAGCGGAAGCGCCTCTCCTGTAGAGTGTTGCCATGAGGATATGTGTAACTACAGAGGTTTGCATGACCTCACGCACCCTCGAGGTGATTCGACAGGTGAGATACACAAATTTGACTGAAAAAGAAAGCTGCATTAGTAGATTGGATCATATGTTAGCTCTTTGTTTTACATTTTAAAAGAGAAAGATCACCCCAAAATTAAAATTGAAACCAAAAATAAAAACATTTTACTTGTCATTCCGAACCTGTAAGACTAATGGTCTTCTGTGGAACATAAACTTATTTTGAAAAATATCTATTTTAAGGTGTCCTTGTTACAGTGTAATTATACGTATAGGTACTGAGTAATATTAATTAACTACATGTACTACTTACTATATGGTTAGGATTAGGGTTTGGCTTAGGGTTAATTGCATGTAATTATGCATAATTAATTGTTATAATAATAGGTGTAACAAGGACACCTTAAAATGAAGTGTTACCGTATATTTTTTGAAAGTCAGTGAAAAGTCAGTGGAGTTGTTTCATTGTATGGGCAAAAACAGTTGAAACATTCTTCAAAATAAATTCTTCTTGTTCCAAAGAAGAAAGTCATACTTGTTTGGAATGACATGAGGGTGAATATATTATCACAGAATTTTCAGTTAATTGCATGTAATTATGCATAATTAATTGTTATAATAATAGGTGTAACAAGGACACCTTAAAATGAAGTGTTACCGTATATTTTTTGGTCCTTACATTGAAAGTCAGTGGAGTTGTTTCATTGTATGGGCAAAAACAGTTGAAACATTCTTCAAAATAAATTCTTCTTGTTCCAAAGAAGAAAGTCATACTTATTTGGAATGACATGAGGGTGAATAAATTATCACAGAATTTTCCGTTTTGGGTGAATTGTCCCGTTAACCTTACCTTGGTATAGAGTGTCTGACATTGAATGGGCCAGTAGGACACAGTGATTCCTTTATGTGTAGATATTTTTTTATCTAATCGAAGTAGGATACTATCTTTACCGATGTCTGACGTCAATCCTGTGCAAACATGGACCCTTGTGACAGATTCTTTAGTATCAGGCATACATGTGCGCACACATTGACTTTTACTGCTCTCACGGCTCCAAACTACAGGCTGATATTTAATGGTTTCCAGTGCAGCGTGAGTTTGTGGGTAACTGGCAGTTTACCTTTTAGCACTTGGATTCAGATCACATACTTTTTATTGCACGTGGATCATGAAACATTCCCACTGTGCTGGAATGTGCTTCTCACAGCGTCCTTTGACAGACGGCTCAAAGCACATAAATGTAATCCTGTTTAATGAAAAAGGTGCGCTGAGATATTAAAAAGAGTGGAACAAGTATAAACGTAACACGTTAGCGTTCCTCATGCTGTTTTTTCATAAAAATCCAAATCTCACTTTGTCCTCACCATGCTCTCTCTCTCTCTCTATCTAGACCGATACTACAGCTCCAATCAGAACCTGATCACAAGGGTGCAAGAGTTAGCATCCGCTAAAGAGGTGTGGTTCCGGGCGGCAGTGATAGCAGTTCCCATCGCGGGTGGGCTTATCCTGGTTCTGCTGATTATGCTGGCGTTGCGAATGCTTCGTAGTGAAAACAAGCGTCTCCAGGCCCAGCGCCAACAGATGCTGTCTCGCCTGCATTATAGTTTTCATGGACACCACCATGCCAAGAAAGGCCATGTGGCCAAGTTGGACTTGGAGTGCATGGTGCCGGTAACGGGACATGAGAACTGCTGTCTGGGCTGTGATAAGCTGCGGCAGACGGAGCTGTGCACGGGAGGAGGAAGCGGAGGCGAACGCCTCCTATCTCTTGTGCACTGGGGGATGTACACAGGACATGGCAAGCTGGAGTTCGTATGACTACTCGGAGCTTCCTTGTTAGGGCACAAAAGGGTAACTGTGTAGTTTGCTGTCGTAATTTTATTATCGTCCCGCTCGGCGTGTTATTTTATTGTCTCCATGACCATGGAGAGCGAAGAAATTTCAAGGACACAAATCTTTGTGTTTTCTCAAAAGAGCACTTTACTTGAATTAGAATGGCCGGTCACTGTGGGGCTGTGGTGAATATGAAAGGGGCGGAGCTAAGGACTACAAACTCCGCCCCTTCCCCACCAAGCCATGTCCTGTGGATCCTGGAATGACACTGAAGACTGAAGGATTCGTAAAGATGGTCTTATTTTGCACATTTGTATAAAATGGTCTAGATGACTATGGGTTGGTTGGAAAGTTGCATTCGAAGTGGATTTTTTGAAGAATTTTACACTGACACCAGGGTACAAATAAGGTTTGTTGTAGTCAAATTGTATGAATAAAGGATCCAATCTTGACTGTAGCAAATCACATGCCTCTGCTTATGATTTCGTTAATCAAACACATTTGTGTAATTGTTGTGTGTGTCAGTGTGTGTGTTTGTGTTTGAGTGTGGAAGGTCAATCAGTAGCAGGGGAACTGACACAGGGGCCTTGTTCTAAAATAGTGCTCTTCATCTGACTGCGTCATCTCTGAAACCCCTCCAAAAGGGACACATTACATCTCTCTAGCTCTCTCGGCTGCTCTCTTGGGATTAATACTGAAGGTAGAGCGAGTATTTGTTTAGTAAGTAAGGGAATTTCGGTAAGCTGTGAGATCAGAGTCCTTCGCCTGCACTCGCTGAACACAGTAATTCCCTTGTATGCACTCTGGCTTGACTTTACAATCCACAAATCACAGGCAGATTTGAGAACTGTGAAACTTTTTTTGACCTACTTTGAAAATGTGCTTGCAGCTTTGTACACTAAAGTGTCCTTAAGACTAGCAGGAATTGCTAACATTCTTTTGTGATATAGTTCATTGCAGTAGATGTGTACAACATAGGCTCCATATGACAGCTCCCTCTCTTATTCAGAGGATTGTTGGTGAAAGCGGCTCCTCAAGGTGGATAAGAAGCAAATAATATAGTGAAAATATTTTATCTCTCGTGCTGAAAATCCTTTACCAAATTTGGTTCCTGGTCTTTTAAAAAGTGCTTGTTAATCTCTCCCTATGATATATCATCACCAAATCTTAAATGTAATTTTTTAGTTTATTTATTTTCTTTCAGTAAGCTCAGGATTTGTATATATTTTTGGAACTGACTGATCGTAGGCCTCATTGATGAGGAAAACACTTGGAAATCTTTTAGTTAAAAGTCATTGCAATATTGGGTTTGAAAAGTGAACTTAGTTGTAACAAAAACATCATTTGTTTGCTGATGGCACATTTCAGTTTGATACATTTTTATTTTTTTTCACATTTACACTTTTCAAAGATGTCCAAATACTTTTTTGAGGTCACAGTATATGAATAGTTTCAAATGTGTGGGCTGAAAATTAATTTGCTGAACCACAGAACTTAAGTATAATGCAGTATAATTCCTTGATTTTAAAGATTAATTAATTAGGATTAATGTTTAAAAATATCAAGTCAGGTTTATTTGTAGTGTGTTTACACAATACACATGGTTTCAAAGCAACTTTACAGAAAGGGATATTGTAATAGAAAGCTATACTGTAGTATTAACGAGTTTAAACAAAAGATTTAAAACGCATTCCTTCAAAAAGCTCTATAACAAAGCCATAAAGACATGATAATATAGTACACTGAACCTCTTCATTCATTTAAACGTTGTCCTGTATGTAGCTTCCTTTCACGCCTGCTTTCTCTTTTTCTCTTTCTCTCTCCCATGTGTCTTAGCTGACCTTGTTGTATATCAGGACCCCAGGAAGACGCCATTAGCTGGCGGACCACTTAACAGGCACTAGCATTTGTGAGTTTAGCCTCCCCCTGGACTATTAGCGCTTGGTTAATGATAACAAAAGCCTGAGAGTTTGGACGAGCTAATGATCTCATTGTGTTCTCAGCTTCCCTCTGGCCAATCACCTGCTTCTGAGACGAAATGTGCTTTACTTAAATCTGTCTCCAAATAATTCACTTAAATTTTATTCACTTATTATAAACCTTTTGTCCACATCTTAATGTTTTTTCCCCCCACTTTTAATTTTTAATAATTGCAACTGGCTGTATTTACATTTTATTAAATGAAGAATCAGTGAATACAGAGTGTTTTGAATGAGATGCTGCAATGCATTGTCAAAAAAAAAACCTCATTGGTCCGGATAAAAGCAGCATGAGGTGTGTATGCATCACTCATTGCTGTGGCAGTAGTCAGTCTGGCCATTTGTATTGACATGCAAAGTCCTGTATGTAGCTTCCTTTCACGCCTGCTTTCTCTTTTTCTCTTTCTCTCTCCCATGTGTCTTAGCTGACCTTGTTGTATATCAGGACCCCAGGAAGACGCCATTAGCTGGCGGACCACTTAACAGGCACTAGCATTTGTGAGTTTAGCCTCCCCCTGGACTATTAGCGCTTGGTTAATGATAACAAAAGCCTGAGAGTTTGGACGAGCTAATGATCTCATTGTGTTCTCAGCTTCCCTCTGGCCAATCACCTGCTTCTGAGACGAAATGTGCTTTACTTAAATCTGTCTCCAAATAATTCACTTAAATTTTATTCACTTATTAAACCTTTTGTCCACATCTTAATGTTTTTTCCCCCCACTTTTAATTTTTAATAATTGCAACTGGCTGTATTTACATTTTATTAAATGAAGAATCAGTGAATACAGTGTTTTGAATGAGATGCTGCAATGCATTGTCAAAAAAAAAAACCTCATTGGTCCGGATAAAAGCAGCATGAGGTGTGTATGCATCACTCATTGCTGTGGCAGTAGTCAGTCTGGCCGTTTGTATTGACATGCAAATTTAACAAGGGCACCGGCTGAGCCCTTTACAAGTTTAATTTGTTTTGAATTGACTTTAAACTGCCAATGCTTTCTTCTTATTCAGCAATGCAGCTTAATTGAGGCCCTATGCCTATGTAGCCTCTGGATATAGTTCCTTTAGACAGATAATATTCGAAACAATCTGATAGTTACTGTGCATCATTAATAGTTATTTTGATTACATCAGGCACATCCGTCAAACACATGCATTTTATTTTCCTAGCAATGTCTTTGGAATTGTTCTGGGCCGTCATAACCATCAAATCATTTTCTCATAAATTTATACGGTTCATCTTTTTAAAATGTAAAAATCCAACCCAATCTGTAATTCTGACAACAACAAGATCTTGTCCTTACCTTGCTTGATTATTTATTAGTTCTACCAATGAAATAAACCAGGCCACTCCCAACAAACAAACACAGCATATCATCCCACATTGCAGAATTTGGAAGAAACTGGTTGTCATGGAAACTCAAGTGACAGTCATGTACTGGACACAGAACCTAAATATTTGAACAACTCGAAGAACCGAGAGACACGCTTTGAAGTTCACAAAACACAAACCGGAACGATGTCCTCATCCGCCTCTCTAAACATTTACGTCTGTCTGTCTGTGTCTATCTGTCAGTCAGTCCATCTATGACTTTTGATGATCCCTTTTCTTTCTTACAAAAGCCCGACCAAAGATGCTGGTGACCCCACTCAGCTTTGCTAGACTAATGGACCCAAGTTTATTTCAGCCAAGCCTAAGGGGGAGATTTTGGCCCCAGGGACTGAGTGTGTGGTGATGTTGGAGAGATTGTGGAAGCAGGAGCAGACGGGAGTGGATTTGTTGCCAGTAGTCAGCAAGCAGTGCATTCATCTTTATTTTGTTTCATTTGAAAAAGCTTTAGAAATCCATATAGATGAGATTACACAAGTATTACTTTCTTATATGATGATAATGATGTTAAAGTGGTCATATGATGCGATTTCAAGTTTTCCTTTCTCTTTGGAGTGTTACAAGCTGATTGTGCATAGATAAGATCCCTGAAGTTGCAAAGACTAAAGTCTCAAAACCAAAGAGATATTCTTTATCAAAGTTAAGACTCTGCCACGCCCCCCTAAAACGGCTCGTTCTAACACGCCCCCACATATCTACCTCACTATGTGGAAATATTAGCATAATGCCGCCCAAATGTTCACGCTAGAGGACCTACAATAATGTACAGTATTTGAAAAATAATGTGTTTTTTGAACATTAAAGCATGTCAACATATTCTGTTACACCAAATACACAAAATAATGATTTTTAAAAAAGCATGATATGACCCCTTTAAGAATATGGTAGTTTATCTTCACTCAAGCTATGTGTGTATATGAAAGCTAACACTTTGCTCTAGTTTAATTCTGAACACAAAGATCTGATCTCACCTGGATTTCAAGTCAGGATGTTTTCTTCCATCAGGTTATTGTGAATATTTGGCAATACTGTGTCTCTTTATAAATGTAGAGACATTCTATCACTGTCAAAATTGTTGAAATGTTCTCTAATGAATTTGAGTGGGAGGGAGGACGGAAAATCATCAAAACAAAGGTGAGAATGGAAGAAAGAAAGCTAAAGGTTGCATGCATGCTCGAGACTTATAATGGATTTCACAGACAGAATTGACTCCTGGCCTGAAAAGCCTCTTATCTTTTTTTTCTTCTCTCGTTTTTAAACTGTGACACACACCCTGATTTGGCAGCCGTGGCCTGAGGCCTCCTGCAGAGATATAATGTGTGCGTATTGTGAGTGCAGAGCCCTGGATTACAGCACTGAAAGAAGAGCAGTCTGTGCCTCTCAGTCTTCTGTCTTTGCTACGCTGCCACTGAAAAGCACCGACACTGATGCACCCCAGCGCTTCCTTTTGGACTTTTTAAAAAACGCGCATCTGAAGTGTCTCTGAAGGAAATAATGCATTATTTATCGGCTTTAAGATATCGGCCAAATTTTCTTATTGGGCCGATACCGATAACATAAAAAATGAGCATTTATCGGCCGATACCGATATGGTGGCCGATATATCGTGCATCCCTAGTTTTGAACTTTCAATACATTTGACCAAGAGTTTAATAACATGGAAATTGACTAAGCCTATCGACTAGGCTTGTTAACCATTAAAGGGGTCATATGATGTTGCTAAAAAGAACATTATTTTGTGTGTTTGGTGTAATGAAATGTTTTTATGCGGTTTTAGGTTAAAAAAACACATTATTTTCCACACACTGTACATTATTGTTTCTCCTCTATGCCCCGCCTTTCTGAAATGCGTCGATTTTTACAAAGCTCATCGGTCTGAAAAGTGAGGTGTACACTGATTGGCCAGCTATCCAGTGTGTTGTGATTGGCCGAATACCTCAAGCGTGTGACGGAAATGTTACGCCCCTACCATACTGTGATGCCCTGTTAATATATTTTTTGTATTATTGAGCATTACAGCAAGGGTGCATTAAAGGGATAGTTCACCCAAAAATTTTAATTACCCCATGATTTACTCACCCTCAAGCCATCCTAGGTGTTTATGACTTTCTTCTTTCAGACGACATG